GCTGCTGCTACTGCTACTGCTGCTGCTGCTGCTGCGGTTGCTGCTGCTGCTGCTGATTTGCTTCAGGGTTGAGGGGTCGCTGTTCCAGCAGGGGCAGAGAATTGCGCTTAGAGCGCCTCCAGACACGCCCTAGACCCTAGACCCTAAACCCTAAACCCTAAACCCTAAACCCTAAACCCTAAGCCCTGAACCCTAAACCCTAAACCCTAAACCCTAAACCCTAAACCCTGCGCACCCCAAAGCTCGCGTGAAGGGCCAGGGCCTCGTCTCGAAGGCCTGGAGGCAAACAGCTGGGGGGCCCCCTGGCCTTTAGCGCTGCAGCAGCAGCAGCAGCAATCCCTGTGGGGGCCCCCTCCCCCTGCGCAAAAACCCAAAACCCAAAACCCTAAACCCTAAACCCTAAACCCTAAGGCGTGCAGGGCTTCAGTGGCAGAAAACCCTTGTCTCTTTTGTCGTCTCAAAGCCGCAACCCTCAAGTGCGCAAACCAAGGAACCCCAAACCCTAAACCCTAAACCCTAAACCCTAAACCCTAAACCCTAGGCCCACCATCCGCTGCAGCGCGACCATGAGGCTCTGCAGCTCCGAAGCACTCAGCGTCCCCAAGAGATTTTCTTTAACCAAAAACCTGAGCAGCAGCAAACCCACAACTTGCATGCATGCATGCACTTGCATGCATGCATGCAGTCCCACACCACTGTGGGGCCCCACACTTGAGGGGCCCCACACTACCAAAGGAGCCCCCTACTGTGGGGCTCCCCCTATTATGGGGCCCCCTCTTATGGGGCCCAGTGTGGGGGCCCCTCCTGTGGGGGGCCCCACAGTGTGGGGCCCCACAGTGTGGGGGGGGGCCCCCAAGTGGGGGCCCCTGTTGGGGGGCCCTTTGTGCTGCTGACCGGGAAATGAGTTTGAAAGCTTTTAGGGGCACTTTTTGCTGCTGGGGAAATAAAGGAATTGCTGCTGCTGCCATTACGAGCTGCTGCGGAGAAGCAGATCCAATCTTTTGGCAAAAGACCTTCAGCAGCAGCTCCGAAACACTTTTGCTGCTGCGCTGCAGCCTGCACATACACCCCAGAAGCAGCAAACAAAAAGCTGCTTTCGCGCCACCCTGCTGCTGCTGCTGCTGCTGCCGCTGCTGCTGCTGCTGCACACGCTGCTCCTAGTGATCGTCCAGCTGCTCTTGCTGCTGCTGCTGCTGCTGCTGCTGCTACTGCTACTGCTGCCGCTGCTGCTGCTACCGCTACTGCTGCTGCTGCTGCAAGCTCACAGCAGCCGCTGCTGTAGCTTGGGGCGGGGCTCG